AGAAATTTAGGTAGTCTAAAAAATTGTTAGATTGATATATATTGAGAACTCAGTTTCAGTTTCAATTGATTATATTATAATACATGTAGTGGTAAAACAGAGTTTGGTCCCACTGTGTAGTCCACGGCGCCCACGGCAAACCAAAATAGGCCTACATGCAGGGGCGAAGCGTCTATATAATCAAATAATCACTGTTTCCCTTCCTAATTTTGAAACGTTGTAGCAGTCAAATTCTCCCATAAACGTAAACCTTATAAATTAAAAGTAAAAAGACGTTTCATAATCAACAATGAACAGTATGTCTAACATTCAAAACGGTTTCACTGCCACAGCAATAGCCTGCTCATCCCTCTCGGGCCACTCCATAAGCAGTCACAAGCTTTGATTAAATAAGCTTAAAGTGGGGCTGGAAGAGTCTACCAATAGAGTTGAAGGGAATACGTGCATAGCAGTCAATACTGTTTCATTGCCACATATACCCTGTTCACCCCTTTCGGGGTATTATGTAGTGAACTATTAAACTGGTCGAGTCTACCTTACAGATATGAGGGGAACTAACTCCTGATAATATCTTTACTGCTACGAGTGGGGTTTTTTTAAACGTCCTATAATCAGATCGTGACCTCGATTATGACACCGGCTCCTGGCCGCGAAAAGCGAGACAAAAAACAGCCACAAGTGAAATAAAAAAAAAAAAGATAATTGTCATGTTCTACCAAATAGTTAGACTCCCTGGTAGATCTATAACACATTATAGATCTAGTACTGACATCTCTGCTTCCTTGTTTTGGGTTTGTGTATTCACTTCTAAAGTTAAATTTAATTTTAGTTGGAATTGATATTTAATAAGATACTTTCCCGATTATTTTGGCGGTTGAATTCCGGATTTGTTTTCATTGACACAACTTAAGAGTCGCCGCCTCGAGTAGGGTTCTTGTGTGATATCTCCAGGCCATATTATCTGGTTCCGTTTCACTTTGATTACCCTGTCAAACAAGTCAGCCTTCGCCCCTGCCTACATGTAATTTCCTAGAGTCTAGTAAGTGTAGTGTAACCAAAAATTCTCTACTACAGTAGTCTCCGCCTAAGATCCCAGTGCTCGGGAGCAAGGGAAATATGGGATCTTAGCCCGACGAAGCTAAGGAAGAATCTACAGTGACCCAAGAACTGACGTGACCCCTGGGTAGGTTTATGACATAATGGCAAGCAAAGAGTGGTCATCCTTGATGACCAATCACAGTAGCATGGTGGCATGAGGCAAGCCATAATATTATACCGTACACTCATTAGCATATCGTCTCGAGATCTTTATCTACGTTTATCCAGTTGCCCCTCCCCTTTACCTGTCCAAAAATTGTAGCCTTCCATCTCTGATTCAGTCCCCCCGCCTTTGTCGTTACGTACATGTGCCATTACGCTGTGACCACACCAATTAAAATTCAGACTGTCTCGCAATTTCGGGAATAGAGAAAAACTGCCTTCAACTTCAATGGTCAGGGAAGAGTTCACAGCTCGATGTGATCCTGCCTGGAGCGAACTTGTAGGCCCAACCCACCCAAAGGGGGATGAAAGTTCAGGTGGCGAGCTCAGATGCGAGTGCGATGTTTGGGGAAAAGAAACGTCCCATCGGTCAGTTCACACCTCGGTGTGATCCCGTCTGAGGATCATTGTACCGTTTCATGGAGTTTTACAGCGCATGTGATCACTTTCACAAGTGTGGCTGATCTTTGACGCGACGGGCAGTTCTTTAATCTCAACTTTTAACTCTTGGTTGATCGGCTGTGCCCGCCCGGGTGTTTGTTCCGTAAATTATGATCGGAAATGTCGGCACTTATTCTTTCATTAAGCTTCAAAAGTAGATCTACCCAAAATGTACTTGAAAAGTACTAAAAAGTACTTTTATAAAAAGTATCGGAGTACAGTAAAGCTGACATTCCATATGCCCGAAAAACCGATGCGAACTTCGGGTGCGAATTATTTTTTTCGCACCAACGTTTTTGTCATTGGGTGAATCCATATACCGGAATTTTGCATGGCCGAGTCCGAAATTCGCATGCGATGATTTTCTTTCGCACGAGGGAGCGAAACTTTTTTCTTCGCATGCGAATTCTTCGTGAAGTGGGCGGGGCTTATTTCCCGCCAAATCTACTTCAAAGGAACGAAGCAGCATAGAACATGATAGAAGCACTAGATAAGTGGGGAAAACGTCGAAATGTTGATTTCCTTCGTTCGAGAGAGAAGTGTTAAAACCAAGACTGAAAAGAAGTGTTTATTTTCAAGGTGGCTGTCATTTGCATGGCAACCACTTTTTTTTTTAGTTTGTGGGAAACTTTCGGGAGTCTATGTAATCTATCTATGCTATCATTTATCGTTTAAATCATGTAATAACTAAAAATAGCTTTTCACTTACACCCACCCCCCTCCTTAATTAAATGCACTTGAATATGATTTCAGTCAGATGACGGATGCGAATTTCGCGTATATGGAAGGAGGGCTCTTTTTTCATCGCACCCGAATTTCGTACACGAAGTTCGCATCGGTTTTTCGGGCATATGGAATGCCAGCTTTAAAGTACTGGTTCTCAAAATGTACCGGAATACAGTAAAAGTACCGAAAATTGTAACGTAAGTTCTGTACTCCGTTACACCCAGCACAGTACACTGTAACAGAACCCTGAATAAGTGAATAGTTCCCGCGCTTTCGGGATGTATGTCCACATTGGGCTGTTCATTCATGTCAGAGACTGGGATTTATTTTGTTTCACCAGATAACATCAGTTCTTTTTCAAGTAGGCCAAAATTTAAATTAAAAGCTATAATAGAATCGATCAAGAGAAAATCTTTCTTCAAACATATTTTTTTTCTGGTATCAGAGGAGGAATAATTGTTAAAATAAGAAATTAACAGTCCTTATTTTTTCCGATGTTTAAGCCTAATCTTTATTCTTTACAAATCTGGGGTATTCTCCAGAAAACGAAAGTAGAAAGTAGTAAGTAGGCCTAGAAAGAAAGTAGCCTCCTTGATCTAACCGACAAGCAGAAATAGAGTTGAAAGAAATTAGAAAACTGAAGAGTAGATCTAGAAATCTAGACGTCTGGATATAGATCTATAGATCTAGATCTAGATCTAATCTAGTTGTAGGATTGTTGTAAAGCAAGACAGCCGGCCAACTCGTGTTGTTGTGCGAAACAAGAACCACAGTAACAGTCACAGTCACCTTGGTACGCTAGGCTTAGCCTTAGACGAGGCTAGTGGTGTGTTGTGGTAGCGTATAAATAAGTACGTTTCTTTTTCCATTTGGAGTTGGAGTCGCCGGTGTGGAGTGTGGTCAACAAATATCTTGATCACAGACAGAATGTCTGCAGAACAGGCTACATCAGTGTCGAAGGTAATCACAAACAACAAATTAGGCCTATGAAAATGTGACTACCGCAACGGCGGCAGCATCAAATCAGCATGCCGCTTTGTTTTAAATTTTAAGAGTATGAGCCTCTAGATCTAGATTTAGATCTAGATTAGATTAGATCTAGAAGAGAATGCTAGCTTTCCATTGAACAACTATCAAGCATAGAAATTTAATTTAGATAGATATCTAGATCTAGAATCCAGCTGTACCTTCTGTTTCCCATCTCTCACCTCTTTTTCCCCTGTACCATATTATTATATTCTATCACTATCATGTTAATCGGTTAAATGAAAGTGATGAGTGATAGAAATCTAGAAGTTAACAAGTTGGGGCAGTATCAGTAGGCCAAAATCTGGTATTCTTTTCGCAGTGGGCGTGGCTATGTTCACGGCGCCCTGTTTAACTTGCAGGCACTGTTGAGGCTACGTTCATGGCACTCAAGCTTTGTTTAGGGGGAGCGTCCACTGCCGGTTTAAGTTTCTGTAAGCCCGTATTAGTCAGTGATGTATATTTAATATTCGTCGTTTTCCCATACGCTCAGAGCTCGCCAGTGTAAGGGAAAATGACGAACTCTCAATTACGCAACACATTAGGCTTAGGTCATTAGGCATATATATTATTTTATATGACAAAAATGTACACCTACCAAGACCATGATGTTTCAATTGCCCTATCTCGCGTTCTTGTGTTAGCGCGTGACGGCCCGTGATATACGAGTGTAAACAAACGTATCAGCGCTCTCGAGTTGAAAGCATGCAATTTTGTCTGCAGGCAGTGTATGTGTGTGAGAGAGAGAAGGGTTGGTGGAAGAGATAAAGAGCTAGAGAGGGAGAGAGAAGGGGGGGGGGGAGAGAGAGAAGGGGGGGGGGAGAGAAAGATGGACGAAGAGACAGTCAGAGACAGAAAAATAGAGAGGGGGGGGGGGAGAGAAAGAGAAAGGGGGGACAGACAGAGAGAGAGAGGGTGTTTGTTCTTATAATATGAATTATTGATTCGGGTCCCGTCATTTTCTCTCGGCGTTGGTTCCCAGGCTGACCTGGTGCAATAACAATCATATTATTGTACACATTTTATGACCAGTCCCATCTTCCGAATCCCACCTTCTGTTAGAGCTGTGCCCCGGCAGCAAACCCGCTCGGGCTCGTAAGCCCCTATTTCAAGTCACAAGCCTCAAGTCACTATGTCAAATCATCAAATTAAATCACCAGCATGATAAGTTGAGTCTAGCCTAGAAGCTTCAAGTACACACCAACTAGCTATCCATGAAGCACTCGTGTCAGACTCCCTCATCCTCCCCACCCTGCTTGCAATCCGCGAAGCCACTTATGTCAGAAAAAGAGACAGGGGGGGGGGGGGGAGGGAGAGACCCCGCTCATAGTGTCACTGCGCGGCGTAGCGCTGGAGTCTGCTCGATTTTATATAAAATCAAAGGTTTGCAAGCAGCGGACAGCTGTCAAGTCTCAAATTTCGCTCGCAGCTCAGCAAGTCCCATGATTCCCATTGTCTTTCTTTGTGCCAGTGACTTGCTCGCAGCCTGGCAAGTCTTTCGGCTTCCATTTTTTTATTTGGCTCCTAGGACCAGATCGCAATCTGGCAAGTCACTTGGCTGACTTGGTGTAGCAGGCAGCGAGCTGCAAGACTGCTCGCAGTGTGAACTGAACTCTGAACCATGGAGGAAAGGAGAGGCTGTGCTTGTTTTGGTGCAAAATGTAGAGAGCCGAAGTTATTTTTAACTTCCCGCCGTTGATCAGCTTAGCGAGTGGATAAAAGTGAGAGGGAGCATGGTATTGTAGTAACAGGGACCTAGGTTTCTACCGTAACTTAATAAGTGTAAGTAGACACAGATTACCCAAGAATGGAAAGCTCCAGGGGTCGTTGTGATTTGCTTTTGTATCGTGTGTATGTAACCTATTTTGTAGATGTTTTACACTCCCAGTGACATAATACAGAACATTTAGGAGACGGGCTAGGCCTACTTCAACTCAATGTCAGGGCCAACCTGGGCTGAGAGAGAACAACGTCCCAGCAGAAAGACGGGGGTTCTCAGTAAAAATTTCTCCCCCTATGGGAATCGAACTGAGGTCTTTTGCATGCGACGTCGAAGCGTTTGACTTGTGCACATTATAAACAAACAGGTCTTTGCAACGTAAGAACAGCTGATCCATTATTAATTTTTAAGTACATTGAATGGTGCTTTTTATTTTTTACAACTCGACTATGGAAAAAAAACAATCTTGCACTTTTGGTGCAAGCCTCTCAACGCAAATAACCAGAATCTTCTGTATATGTACTGAGCCCACAGCCATGAGAGTTCGCGACGTCACGACACAGTACAGCAAGACTGTCCGCGAGTCTCAACTCACCGGAAGTTCCCCGCGGTAGTGAGCGGGAGGCAAAGCAAAGCACAAGCCTGCTCGCAAGCCGCCCACTGCTCGCAAGCCTTCGATTAATCGAGCAGACTCCAGCTGTGCCTTCTGTTTCCCATCTCTCACCTCTTGTTTCCCCTGTACCATATAATCCAATTTTCCATATATATCCCATATCCCGACTTTGATTCTGTAAGGGCGCTTCATTTTCCTTCATCTCATGGGATAGAACACTTGAAGCTGGCCGAAATATTTTGAATGTATATGTCACTGTCGTCACTGACTTAAACCGGCAGTGGACGCTCCCCCTAAACGAAGTTTTAGTGTTGTGAACGTAGCCTCAACAGCGCCTGCAAACTGCATTCAGGGCGCCGTCAACATAACCACTGCATATTCTTTTACTTTCCCTCCCAACTCACATTTAGCTACCTGCTGTTCATTTTCTACTAGATCGAAATATTGATGCGTTGAACATGAATATCAACTTCTTTTCCCTTGCAAATCAATAGTTTAAAAAAATATTTGATTGTTCTTAATCGAGCTTTCACACTCACGCCTAACTGCAGTAATTTGCATGCTTTGGGCCAATCGGGGGGTTTCTGGAGGTACAAAAAAATCTGGGGGGTTACAGGGGGGCATACCACCCTTCCTTTGGTGCTTGTTCCAAGTCCTTTTATTGCCATTGTAATGATTGTTATCTCATCTCTCATTAGACTCATTGTAAGTTAAATAATACCTTGATCTGGGTAACTTGGTGCAACGGCCTTTCTGTGGGCTGTGATACATTTTCCACTCCTGTGGGGTCAAGATGTCAAGTGGAAGTCTTTAAGTGTTGTATTCCCAGCTACTACTTTTATAGTTTGTGTAGAATGTATGAGAGTTATTCTCCAAAGATGATCACAGCTGGAGGGCCTCTTTCCTCTCAAACAAAATAAATGAAGAGTTGGTGTGAAAGTGGGTTTTCTTTTTACTGATTGAAAAATACTGGTACTTTTTAATTAATTAGGAAATTGGCCAGGGTTCAAAGTACACAGTATTACAAAAATTGAATGTGATTTTGAAAAATGCTGCTGAGAATGCTTCTATTTTGTTGCATTTTGTAGAAAGAGTCTTTATGCTCGCATTTTGTGCACATTTCACAAGTGGCAAGATAAGTGATACAAATACTGGACAGGGTTTATTTCTCTTTCGAACATTATTTATTTATAATTTATTTTGTTTTGTTTTCAGGGTGTTTTTGCATTCAAGGGAAAATGTAAGAGAGTGAACGAAGATGATTACGTATGTGACTCGAAAGACCGAGGAAGAAAGGCCCGCATGACCCTCTACCGCGAGATCTGGGAGGATCTGCACACACAGATAGAAATCTTACGGTCCGACCTCAACTGCCAGATCTTTGATGACCTGATTGCCTTTGTGAGTGGATGTCACCGACACAGAGACAGTCCTGGTGACAGAAGCGCACAGCTGCTGGGCGAGATCCCTGCGGCCGTGCTGGTGACGGGGGTGAACACCCCTGATCATGATGTCATGTTTGCCAATTTGGAGAGCATGCTCAAGTCCCAGGTGTCGCCTCTCGTCGCTCGAGTAGGGGCTCAGGACAACTGTCGCATCAGTGCTCTCCTCAGCGATATCGTGGCGCAGCTCATGAACGTCACGCTGACCTCGGAGGAGAGGGAAGATGATGAGCACGACGCCGGTGATCTGTTGCCGGGGGAGAAGTCGACGGCTGTCTCCAGCAGCCCCATCAAGCTCAAAGTAGCACCAGTACGAAAGAGAGCTCTCAACTTGACCACATTAGTCAAGTGGTATAAAAAGAAGTTTGGGGCAGGTTCTCCTTGCAAAAGTCGCTCTGCACCGTGCAGTCCTAGGAAGAGACTCAAACTGGAGGAGACAGGCGAGGCTAACGCGGAACAGCTCAAGGCAACAACTAATGGATCTGGCGTAGACAAAAAACCGCTAGTGATTATTGTTTTTGAGGACGTAGAAAATGTGAACCCCGCGGTTTTCCAAGATTTTATTTCGCTGTGCTGTAGTTATCTCCCCTCCCTGCCGATTGTGTTAATCCTGGGCATCGCGACGGCGGTCACAGCCATCCACCAGATCCTGCCCTCGGCCATCACCTCCCTGCTGTGTATGGAGAGATTCCAGGCCCCGCCGGCCTCCCGCTACCTCTCCCATCTCATGGACAAGATTGTCATGGTGCCGGACGTCGCTGTCAAACTGGGACCAAAAGTTTTCCATTTTTTACTGGACACTTTTCTCTACCACGACTTCTCGATTCTCAACTTCATCACGGCTTTCCAGTTCTGCATGAGTGAGCACTTCTTGAGCAACCCGCTGAGCGTCCTGTGCTGTGGCGGGGAGGAGGTGGATTATGTCACGTCGCAGCTGTCGCAAGCTCAACTGGAGGATCTGAGGAAACTGGCGAGCTTTAAGAGGTTTGTTTGTCATATAGTGTCACAACACAGTGGAATCAGGCGCTTGTCAATTTTTGGGCATTGTGCAGTTTTTGGTATCATCTTTAAGCTAGTTCAGTTGTCTTGTTTTCGATGAAAAAATTATCCATCTTTCTTTAATAGAAGTCGATATATTTTGGTTTGAAGGAGGTGGGGTCACCTGTTTTCAGAAATAAAATAATAATGGCCACCAAAGTTTGGTGACTTTCAAAGCTTGAGAGTCCTTTTAAACTTTAAACTTACATTTTTGTGCCTCTAATCAACATTCTTTAAAGAGTCACACAGCAAATTGTTTTCAAATGGACATAAAAGGGGTTAAGTCTACAAAGGAAAATTCGACAAAAATTGTCAAGCGTTAAGAAAAATGCCGCTTTCTTTGATTTTCAAGATTTTCAAGTACTCAATTATTATTTTTTATACATACATGATGTATTTTTAAAAAATTTAAAACATTATATACATATTTGACGAAAAGATTTCCATGTCCTACTGATTTCACTGTGTGCAAGCAAGACTATACTATATATTCTACAATGTTTTGTTTACCTGTATCAAGTATTCTTTCTTCTTCTTCCTCGTTCTCGACGACAGCAGCTAGACAGTCAGTCCGATGTCACGCACGAACTGTGCAGTTCGCTTCAACTCTGAAAGACATATCATGTATATATGATATTGTATGTTTCAGCTTCGTAGAGAGCTGTCCCCCTAACGTCCAGAGCAAGCTATGGTCTGACAATGCCGTCACCAGAAAGTACCTCTCCTCTGCCCTGACAGAACTTCATCAGCACCACGCAAATCTCTTCCCGGCACTTCGGTTTCTACACTGCTTGTCCTCAGCACTTCCCAAACACCCGCTGGGGAAACAGTTTCGGGAACTGTACTCTCTGTGCCTGACCACAGATGTGTGTGAGTCGGACAGCTACAAGCAGGCGGTCACGTTCTTACGTCTCATGTCCTTGGATGATCTCAGCAAAGCCTTGGCCGCGGCGTGCCAAGCCCTGGAGGAGCCGTCCCAAAGCAACGAGCACCTCCGTCCCCTGTTTGAGGAGGTGGAGAGGTTCGTCTACCGGCTGGGACACCTGGATGAGGAGGAGGAACAGGAGGAGGAAAAGGGTGAGGGTTTCTTGGGAGGTGTCTTTGATGTATGTTGTTGTATTGGGGGGGGGTATAAAGAGTGCAGGAGGACTGGAGTCTGTT